ATATAAGTTAAGGCAACTAAAAGAGACATGAATGTTTTGCCTTTCCTCATTCAGTTAGCTCATCCAGCAATTCCCAAAATATCATAAACAACAGAAACAGATAAAATGTAGCTTGCAAATTCGGATACTGTTTTAGCGAGTTGGTAACAAGCATTAGAACTTCTTGTCTTTCATCAAGAAGCAACATGAGGCCAAGATATCCGATTCTCTTCTCCGGGAATCCGGGGGACGCAATCAACTTTAAGCACTCCATTTGACCAAAATGTGTTGGATAGCCAAGCATATGAATAAACATAAGCTTTGCCAGATTCCGGTGCCTATAATCTTGATCGTTTTCATTCATTGACGTGCGAATTGCAGCACATTCTTTCCTTACAACAGCCCTTTCCTCCGCCGCCGTTTTGCATGCCCGTATTGCCCGAATCATGTCCCTTTCATTTCAAAAAATCATCCAGTTCTTGCTTAAACTAAACCAGAATTGAATAATTCCAGCTGCCAAACAGGTCGGAGGATTTCATGAAGCAAATGAGAAAAAGTATAGAAATTGTACTCACCTTAGACGCGTACCGGAGGAGAAGGGATTCATGATTGGGTCCGGTTCCGAGAATTTCCCGAGAGCTAAATCAGATCCGAGAATGAAAGTTAACTCTCGATCAAATGACCCGGGGACTCGATGGAGAGAATCCGAATACTTTGATCAAGATCCGGATAGATAAATTTAGAGATCTAAGAGAAGAGAGGAAGGAAAGGAGAGATTTGGATCTGAGAGAGACAGAGTGTCTGCGTTTTTTTAATTAATTAAATTTTTTTTCACTCGTAAAAAAGAATGCTAGTAGTGTTGGTGTTCGTATTTTATCTCTGTGAAAGAAAAAAAAAATAGAAAAAATAGGAAGAGTAAATATTTTATTTAGTCGTTGGCCTTTGAACATGATTACAGCTTGGTGCTTTTTTCTTAAAACTATAATTTAGTCTTCTATATCTTGTTCCTTGTTTTCTTTTTCAAAATATTCATTAGTTTTTACTGAATCTGAATGTAGCGTGCTACAATTTGAATTTTTATAAATAATAATAATAATAATTTATAAATGACTCTTTGTAGACGAAATTGCATAGGCAAACAAGCCTTTATCTCATTATTGTTAGTCTCAATCCCATCTAAAATTCAGCTCTTAGATTTTAATTAAATCAACACCTCAGATTAAAAAAAATTAAATTAAAATAATATTATTTTAAATTTAAAAAATTTAAAAAATTATAATCAAATTTTACCGAATCAATTGAATCAATCAATTTTTTTTTTATAAACTTGGTTCAGTTCTAACTCCTGATTAATTAAATTTTGAATTAACTCATCGTATTGAATTGAGTTTTAAATCTATGTTTTATTTTTTTATAATATTTTTTATTATTTATTTTATTTATTTTAAATTTATTTATTTATATTTATTATTGTTTTCATATATTAATATTAAAAATAAATTTTAAAAAATATATTAATTTAATTTTTTTAATAAAAATCAATTTAAAATATAATCTATACCACGCTATCAAACTATCAAACAATTCTTAAACCAATAACATTATTTTATCATTTTTTCTTCAAAAATAGGATGCTAAACTCGTAGCTTCTCCCTTCTGTTACCCTCAATCCTACAGTTTAGCTTCTTTTACTGTTAATTGAACTCCATATTGGATGAATGCACTGGAATACTACCAGTTGAGCTAATTAGCAAGATTTGAGGTTAATTTGGAATTGGTTTGTTAATGAGCTGGGAAGTATTTAATTGCTCCATTTCTGTTTTTCTTAATTAAACATATTTATTGGTATTTTAAATAAGCATATTTAGAAGTATGATGGAATTTGTTTTTCAAAATATTTTTTACTTAGAAATATATTTAAATAATTTTTTTATTTTTAAAATTTTATTTTAATATCAACACATCAAAATGATATAAAAAATTAAAAAACAATTAAAGTAAAAAAAAACTTAAATTTTGATGAAAAAACAAGTTTAATCTCAATATCAAATATCTTTGTAATATTAACTAAATTCATACATGACAATACATGATAGTTTTTTTTGTAAAAATTATTTGATACATTTTTGACAGTATAAAAATTAATTTTTATCCTGTCCAATAATATTAGAGTGAAGAATTTGTTGTCTCATTAAAAGAGTTAGAGCAGGTTTATTCAATACTTCTATATAAGGGTTAATTAGTTAATCTAAGGTTCAAAAAATAATTATTATTATAATTTTAAAATCTTACTTAAAGGTTGATCTGTGACCAAATCTGGATCACGACTCGAGTTGATCATTAACTTAGATCATTGTAAGGATAAAAATAATTATTATTATAATTTTAAAATTTGATTTGAAATCAACCCAAAATTAGACTTAGGTCACTAATCAGGTTGACCATTAACTCGTGTTAACATTAAAATAAAAATAGTTATTATTATAGTTTTAAATTTCGACTCAGAAGTCGACTAAAGACTAAACTTCATCAATCAGCTCTAAGTCACGGTTTAGGTTAATTATTGATCCGGGGTTAACGTTAGGATAAATTTGTTATTATCATAGTTATAAAAACTCAACTTGGGTCAACTTGGGGACATCTCTAGGTCATGGAACAAGTAGACTATTGACTCAGGTCAATGCAAGAATAAAAATAATTATTATTATAGTTTTAAACACATGATTTCAGAGTCGATTCAAGGCCAAGCTTGGTCAGGGGTCAAGATGACCATTAACTTGGATTAACCTTAGAATAAAAATAATTATTATGATAGTTTAAAAACCTGACTTGGAGTTAGGCATAATCAATCAAGCCCAAGTCAAGGATCGAGTTGATCATTGACTCAGATTAACATAAGGATAAAATTGGTTATTTTCATAATTTTAAAACATAATTAAGAGGTCAACATAGGCAATACCTAAATGGTTACCAAAGTAATATAAGAATAAAAAAATGGTTGTTATTATATTTTTAAAATTGACTCGGTGGTTGACCTGGGGTAAAGCTTGACACGACCAAAAGATTGATGTCTTCTCCCAAGTGCAGGAGTGTCGAAGTAATAAATAACTCGACAAGACCGGGGTGGAATCACAAAGAGGTTAATTATATAAATTACATATAATAATAATACAATAACAATAATAACAACAACGACGACAATAATAATAATAATAATAATAATAATAA